ATAAACGGTGGATGGATGGATGGATGGATGGATGGATGGTTAGATGGATAGATAAACGATGGATGGATGGGTGGTTGGATAGATAAACGGTGGATGGATGGATGGATGGATGGATGGATGGATAAACGATGGATGGATGGTTAGTTGGATGGATAAACGATGGATGGATGGTTGGTTGGATAGATAAACGATGGATGGATGGATGGATGGATGGATGGATAAACGATGGATGGATGGTTAGTTGGATGAATAAACGATGGATGGATGGATGGATAAATAAAGGATGGATGGATGGATAAACGATGGATGGATGAGTATTTTCTTTTCCAGGCGTGGAAGGAATTTTCCCAGAATTCCCTCTGCTCGCTGCATGCAGCCTCTTCCTCTCGGCGTTCGGCTTCGTGCCGTTCCCTTGTTGCGGATCAGAGTCCTTCCTTCCTTCCTTCCTTCCTTTCTCCCTTCCTTCCTGCCTTCCTTCACACGGCTCTTCTCTCCGTTTACATTACGGACAGAAACTCTGAATTCCCAGAACGTTCCCGTTGCGTTTTCTCATGTGGGAAATTGGCTTCAGTGAGACCCGGAACACAAACAACCGTCCGGAGGAGCCAATCCCCAGAGAGCACTTCCTGTTCCTCCAGAGCAGGGCGGACATGTTGCCGGAACGGTCCTGAGGGAAAACCCGGACAGGCCACATGCTTTAATAAAGCATCTGGATCATTTATTCTTCCCTCTTTTCTTGGTCCACAGCTAATCCTCTCATCAGGTGTTGATTTTCCCCTCAGATGATGGTAAACGGTAGTTCAATGAGCTGGCAGCGTGTCGTTTGGCCTCCGGTCGGACCCTTTGACCTGGTTTTGGGAGTCGGATGTCTGAGGAAGGAGACGTTCCGACATGTTGGAGCGAACAGCTGGAATGTGCCGCTCCTGCACCAACCTCTGCACCTCTGGACTCACACAGCTTCACTTTTCCTGTCATCTTTAGAAATACAGCTGTGGTGGAAAAGAAAGTACACCCTGACTCAGCCTCAGGATGTTCGCCACCAGTTTCCACACCAACGATTAGTGGGAGATGTACCACTGATTCTCCTACTGGACCAGCTAACCGACGCTAATTACAGCTGATTACCTGATTGATTAGCCAGCAGATGCTAATTACAGCTGATTACCTGATTAATTAGCCAGCAGATGCTAATTACAGCTGATTACCTGATTAATTAACCAGCAGATGCTAATTATCGATTGGTTACTTGATCATCATGAGTTGGAGCTCTAATATTAAAGCAACGCCAACATGGAACAATGTCAGCCATGAGCTCAGAAAAGCAACTGTTGCTCCCCATCAGTCTGTCCAGGGTGAAAGGTCAAACTATCTAAGCTAACCAAGAGCTTCAGATCAGACTCTGCAGGTCTCAGCAGGTTAAAGGTCAAAGTTCATGACAAGACAAGAGTTGAAGAGGAAATGAAGGACAATACTTCACTCCACTACTTGAAAAGTGGATGGATGTTTGGTTGGATGAATAAATGGTTGGATGAACAGGTGGTTGTGGATGGATGGTTGGAACCTAACCCTGACCCAGTGTCCCAATGGCCTAGTCAAAGTCCAGACCTAAACTGAAGCTCCGTGGAAGGAAAACTGGGCTAAAACGAGCAGCTGAGAGAGAGAGACGGCTTTAACAGATGGGGTGTACTTACTTATTTTATTGTTTTCCAAACTCAACTTTTCCATATTGAATTTACAGGATGAGAGTTAAATGATTTCAGACCCTTCTAGAAACCAGATCCTGAACATAGAGGGGTGTACTTTCTTTTCACCTGATGAAGACGCGCTGCGTTCTTTGCCCGACTCTCCTGGCTGTAAATGTGCAGCCAGGCGGCGGCGCGCCCTTTGAACCCTGTCACCCCGGCGACCCCGGGTCCGGATTCCTGCAGAGGGAGGGTCGTCTCCTCCAGGTGAATGATTAGTCAGGGCGCCGTGACCCCTCGCTCCGGGTTTACACGGCGAACCGGTCGCCGTCGGCAACACTTCCTGCTCTGTGTTTGTTTTAAAACCTGGAGGAATCAAAATGTGAAAGTTTCCAGGATGGAAACGGAGGACAGCAGAAACACGGAGCTGCTTGTCTTTACCTGTGTTCAGACGTTGTGATTGGCTGAGAGTCACCTGCTGGCGGTGACCCCTCAGCTGACCTCACTGGGACTGGGTCGCCCCCTGCTGGTGGAACCTGGAATCACACCAGAGAAATGATGGATCCAGTGAGAACAGAAACAGAAACAGTTTGTTTTAAATGGGATGAAACAGGATTAAATGGGAAGTTTGGAAATTATTTTTATTTTTCATCAGATCAATAGAAAGAAGAAGATTAAAACTTTTTTAGACTTTTTCTGTTCTGTAGATTAAAAAGTAATTATGGGCAACCATCCATCAATCCATCCATCCATCCATCATCTTCCATATTTTCCTAATATTATTTTCTAATAATTTCCTGCCTGTTAATTTCAGATTATTCTGTTCCAATCTGTGAATCTCTTCCTGCCTCCTGCATCAGGCTCATTTAGTCTCAGTAAATCTAATTGAATCATTTACTACCCAGAGCAGTGATGGGCAGCAGGCGGTAACCTGATCAGCTGATCTTCCTGCTTAGAACAGAAGTTTGGATATTTGGGTTAAAACCGAGGAGAAACCCTGCAGCTGAGTTTCAGATTAAACCTGATCAGCTCAGCGGTCTGCGCCGCAGACCAAAACAAGCAGCCTGAAACGACTTCGTTATCTGCAGCGGCATCAGACGGAAACCGAATCAAAACGGCGCCTTTTGTTTCCCTCCTGCAGCGTTGTGGCTCCAATCTGCCAGCTGCTGACAGCTTCATGATGGCCTGTTTGATTTTCCCCAGGTGGGTTTTTGTCAGCAGAGCACCACCTGCTGCTTGCTTCTGGTCATTTGCTCATTTACAGGACAGTTATTTTAATCTGTTGTTTCTGGTGTTGAAGACCTTGTACACATCAGATTCAGGGTTTTAAGAAGTGTTGTGGTTAGATTACAAAGGCGGCTGATGGATGTTTGTTTCATTATGAACAGCAGAGGGCGCCATTTCCTGTCTCTGTTTCTGCAGCTCCTTTCTGAGAGCAGTAAAATCATTAAACTGTTTAATCAAGTTTAGCACCTGTTTTCTGTAAATAATTGCTTGATATTGATTTTAAAACACAAGTTTCATCGGCAGATTATGATGAGACATTTTTCACATATTTTTCTTATGTTATTAGTGAAATTATCTGCCAGTGAAACTAATATGTTTTTTTAGCAATATGAAGCAAAACTTAAAACAAGCTCCTATATTTTAAATAAAAGTTACTTCTAAGTTATTTATGTCTCATTTTTAGTGTATTAAGATATTTGCACTTGAAACTAGACCAAAAACATTTGGTAAGATTTTGTGTTTTTGCAGTGCAGATTTAATTTCCTGCTGTTATTATAAATAAATCCAGGAACCACAACAGAAGTCTGACGCTGATGATGTCTGGAACTGTCAGCTTTTAAATCCAACCTGTGTGAATAAACACTCATAAATCAAAAGGTCTGATTAAATCTTTAACCTTGGAGGTTAAAAGGCAGCGATGGATTTTTGTGGTATTTTAATCTTATTGTAATGATTTATTTGCTTGAGTGTTTGGGTTTACATTGAGACGTACATCTTGATCAGAGCGGTTAAAGTAAAACGCCGAGTCTCACAGGCTGAACACAGATCCAGCAGATCCACTCTGGTTGACACTGTAGCTGTTTCTGCACCGCAGGCGTCGTTTTCCCGTTGTTAAGGAATGCGTCTCCCAGAGAGTGACAGCCAGGCTGTTGCTGCTTGTCTGAGCAGGAAGCCTGCAGGCTCGATCTGCAGCAGACGTTCGGTTGACTGATGGAGCCGAGCTTTAACCAACCAGCAGAGGCATTCTCATGCATTTAAACAACGAACGGCACAAACTCGGACATTATCAGCGACGTTGGAAAGGGACTCTGGTTTAAAAAGCAGTTCTTACAAAACACTTGATTGGAAAATGAAGATTTTTAGAAGAATTGCAGTTTACAACAAGATCAGTATTATAAGATATTAGATGGAAGAATAAACAACAAAAAAGAACAGCTAACAAGCTAAATATTTAGTTAGCAAGCTAAATGTTTGACACCCAACTAAATATTTCATTTGAAGCTAAATATGTAGATTAAAACTAAATGCTTAGTTAAGTTAAATATTAACCTCAAACTAAATATTCAGTTAGCAAGCTAAATGTTTTTCCTTTAACATATTTAGCAAAGCTATATATTCCACTTCCTGCTAAATATTTAATTAATCAAACTTTTTGCTTAAAACAAAATTTTTAATTAGCAGGCTAAATATTTTGCTTCAAACTAAATGTCAAATAAATGTAGTTTCAAAATATTTTTCATATGGAGCTAAATATTTAATTCTGTTGCTAAGAACTCTAAGTTTAGTACCAAAACTTTGCAAATCTCTTAAACTCCGACTGGAGTGACTTTTGACTTCTGCCTATTCAATATCAAATATTTAGTTTGAAACTGTGACATTTATAATAGAATGAATAACTTTGTGAAATTCGGACATTTTAAAAAGAACGGCCATTTTTTCCTCTTCTAACAGACTAACCCAAATCGTTGCTGTTTATTTTGACTGAGTAACTTTACAAACGGTATGGAATCGTGGCCTCGGCAGAACTCAAATACTCAAATCCACTTCTGTGACGTAGAAATAACGCAGAATACTACGGCAGACATTTTAGAGCCACCAGATTTTCCAGGAATGTCCTTGAGTTTCTCACTGAGACCATGAAAGCCACATTCCTGAGAAAGGCGAGGGAACCGCGGCCATACCGGGCTGACTGCACTCTGGGCCTGTCTCTAATCAACATTATTGGAGATTTTAGAAAACAGTCAGTACTGTTGGACATATTTGTGGGAAAATGTGACCTGAAACTCTTCATGGCACTTAAATTTACCAAATGATGTAACTCAAAGGGTGGATGTTTTTTTTCTCAATGTCTTCCATTTACTGTTCGACTTTCTCTGGGAAAGTGTAGCAGTTGATGGCCTGATGTCTAACCGGGGCACGATCATCCCTCAGGCGGAGTGGCCCCGTCAGAACCTGCCCCTGCAGGCCTGACGAGTCTCCATCTGTGGGAAACCAGAACCCTTTCCCTCGGAGCGCGATAACCGTGACCCCGTGACCTCCATTCTGTTAGACAACCCCCCGCTCCTCTTTCTCTGGCTGTCGCACACACTCAGTGACACACATTCACTGCCCAGAGATCTGAGAGATGGAAGACGAGATGTCGTTTAAATTAGGGTCTTTCAACGTGATGAGCACGGCGGGGAGGGGTGCGGCTAAAAGCTGGAGCTGATGGAGGCCGCGCTGCAGCTCAGGCTGGGTTATTATGGTCTGTTTTACCTGAAATCTGCTGCTTAGGATGGGTACATGGGAAACATGTTCATTACTTTACACAAAATTACTGTGCAAAGAAGAATCTCATTATATTGAGATTTTATGTGTTTTAGGGCGTTTTGCCACTTTAAATCCTAATAAGCTGTTGCTGGCCACGCCCCCCCCCCCACCCAACGTTTACACTCACACAGGAAAATGGCTGCAAACAAATGAGCAATTATACAACCATACGTCTTTTAAAAGCATTAGTAGAGCCTCCTGTACAACCAACAAGAATGCAGCA